TACACAAAATCTCGCCTGCGATATAAAATATTTCTGAGAGTTTTTTTGCTCTGCTTTTTATTTTTTGTTTGTTTTGTTTTGTTTTGGCCACGCCAAAAATTAGAAAAACTACAAGAACAACTAAACTAAACAATTCAAAACTTTGGCCATTGTAATCAGAGTACCAAAACTTACATCTACCACCCCACACACCAACTCACACACACACACACATCCACGACGTTAGAGTACACGCCCGTTGTTGCAGCCGCACAAGTTGTAACAAATCAGAGGATAAGAGTTGCATGATTTGTTTGTTTTGCTTTTTGCTAAAATATTAAAAGTAACGTTCCTTCGCTTGTTGTCGGCACAAAACTCCTTTTTCCGTACATATATAATTGAAAGTTTAGCGGCCTTATGTAGGTACTTGCAATATTTTTTTTTGTGGAAATAAGTTTGAACTATTTTCCAACAACAAAATAGAAAATAAGTCCGTCTATTATTGGCCTGTTCAAAAACCTACAATAATCTACTAGTTCTGCTAATTTTTCGATATCCTAAACAGTAAACATTTATAAATTTTTCCAGAACAGAACAGACCAGAGACATTTTCATACCCAATTTTGGGTATTCATTTAGAACGTGGCCCTTAAGAACAAATACATGAAAAATAAAGCTTACGGCCAGTCAAACTACCAGTTCTTGGTTTTTCACTTTTATTATTAGAGTAGTCTACACCTATAGATTTTGGCTACAGTCGAACAATTTCAGGCGTTGTTTTTTAGATTAATAATATAATAGTAAAATTCCTGTTATAACATGGTTTTGAAACCGCGTTAGAATTGGGACAACCAGCATTACTGTGAAATGCTCACGAGTAATGCAAATGTTTGTTACGGTTTCTTAATTTTTCTCTGAGATATACCTAAGCTGAATAAGTTTGGTGGTACAGTGATCAACCGGTTCAGATGAAATTCTACGTGCAGCATCTGCATTTCTCACAGCTAAAAGTACATAATATACGAAAATTGTGACAATTCCGTTTTAAATACAACCCTAATTAATTATACCCTCAGCCATATGTCTAGAGAGGGTATATATCATTTGATACGGCCCAAAACGTGCCCCATCGAAATAACTGTTATAGACCCAAAACTGTTTGGAACAAATTCGTTTCAGGACATTTGGAGTCGATCGAGCGATGTCCGTCCCTCCGTCTGTCTGCCTGGCTGGTGCGCATGATAACTCTCGAAAGGACCATTCGCTTTGATCCAAACTAGGGACATCGTAATATTATTATAAAACTTAGATCGAGTTCGGAGATGGGCAATATCGGTCCGCTCCTACTAGCAACTCCCCACAAAAGGTCGACATTTAAAAAAAATATATTTTACTGCACAGAAAGAAATTCGATAATACGATTTTGCTCCAACTATACTACTAATATATGCATCAGTTCTAGGTCAGGCGCGAAAATGGACAATATCGGTCTACTTCTACAAGTGCCATCCCCACAAAGGGTCAACATTTTGAATAATTATAAACATAATAAAATGTGACATAAGAGTCCGATTGTTTTAAAAATTTCACATATCACTAAATTTCATTAACCCAAGATCTGGAGTGAATATGGGATATCCACTCCTTCCGGTACCTCCCCCATAAAGGGTCAAAATTTTAAATATCCATAAAGCCGAAATTAATATCCGATTCCATTCAAACTTGCCACATCTTCATATTTCTATCAACACAAGATCTGTTACATAGATGGTAGGTATCGGACCATTCCTTTTGGTACCTCCCCCACAAATGGTCCAAATTTTGAATAACCAAAACGAGCATAATATCCGAAATAAGCTTCAGATTTCCTTCAGATTTCACACATCTTAAAACTTCTACTAACAAAAGATCTGCTGTGAAGATGGGATATATCGGTCTACTCCTTCCCCCACAAAGTATCAACAATTTAAATATCCATTAAGATCACAAAATGCGAAATTAGTATCCGATTCCATTCAGAGTTTGTGCATCTCAATATTTCCGTCAACACAAGATCTGTTATAAAGATGGCCATTTCTTCTGGTACCTCCCCCAAAAATTTTGAAACACAGAACGTTCAAATAGAGTGAAATAAGCATCCTACTCTCTTAAAATTTCACACACACAAACTTTTTTGCAAACGCAAGATCTCTTGTGAAGATATGTATCTGTGAACTTCTTCTGGTACCTCAACCCCAAATGGTAACAATTTTCAATACTTTTATCTGTCATAACTTACGAAACGAGTCAACGATTCTTTACAACTGTAAATATTTTTATCAACCGGAATCCTGAGATGAATATGGAGTTTATAATTTCACCTAAAACTGGATATAAATGTTCGATTTGCTAGAAATTTTTCCCATACCAAAGATTGGTCTGTATGAGATCAAGTATTAAAATTGGATAGTTTGGTCGACTATATCGGGTACTTCGTGCTCATTTCAACATTTTCTACAAATTATCACATATCTCATATAAAGTTAAGGAAATAACCAATATAGTCCAAATCTGACACTTCCCAATATTTATATCATATTTTTAGGTCCGATAAGAAATGGACAATATCGGCCCATTCTTTCGGAGCTTACTCCTTACAATTTATTATGTTAATAATCATAACAGAAGTCCAAATCTATTTAAATAATCGAACATTGATTGAGGGTATACATCTGTCGGCAAAACAGCTGATACTTTTTATACTATTTTATCTGTATTAGATGAAATATGAAAATGGAATACTTCGGCCGGCTATATCTGGCACCTCGGGCATATTTTAACATTTTCTAAAACTTATCACATATTTCATATAAAGTGAAGGAAGTAGTCCAAACTTGGCACGTCGCATTATTTATATCATATTTATTCTGGTCCGATACGAAATGGACAATATTTGTCCATTACTTCGGAACCTACTCCAAAGAGGGTAAACAATTAGATTAATAACAGAAGTCAAAATATACTTAAATAATCGAACATTGGCTGAGGGTGTACATTTGTAGGCAAAACCTACTGAGTTGTCTTTTGTCTGCGGTCAGTTCACGATATTTTACAGCCCCATATAACAGTACCCCGATATTCGATATTTTGATAATTGTAGCTGCATTCTTCAATGCAATTGTCTGAAAATCCACAAAGAAGTTTCTATATAGGCCCACGATATCGATACCCCCCGATATTCGGTATTTTGGTGATTTTAGAGGAATTATTCTCCGGAATTGTTTTAAATTTCATATTTGGCGTTATTATCGGTACTACAGCCTATGGCAAACAATTAAATAAGAAGCTAAGTTCAGCCGGGCAGAACTTTCCATAAAAAAACAAGTAAAAAAGGTGTAAGTTCGGCCAGGCCGAACTTTGAATACCCTCCACCATTTGGAACAAATTTGGTAATTTTCAAAAAAATAAATAAAATCCGTTAAAAATTCTGTTAAAATCTTAAAAATACTGAATGTAGCCGTATATTAGGGTCTATACGAGGACGTGGACCTGCATAGGCAACTTTTGTCATTAACCATATACAATATTAAAAACCAAAACTTGAAAAAAACCTGTTTATAATGTAGCTAAAATCGTTAAATTCCGAATATAGGGAGGGAGTCCCAAGCGTGGGAGTTATAAACCATGAACCTGCACACACAATTTTCTGTCGTAGGCTGTAGTATCCATTACGAACTTCAAATACTAAATTTGAAAAAAATTCTGGTAATTAATGTCGCTAAGATCATGAAACTACCGAATATCGGGAGGTACCGTTATATGGGGGCTATACGAAAACGTGGACCTACATGGTCCATTTTCTGTCTTAGGCTGTAGTATTCATTACGAACTTCAAATACCAAATTTGAAACAATTCCGATAAATAATGTTGCTAAAATCAACAAAATACCGAATATCGAGAGGTACAGCTATATGGGGGCTATACGAAGGCGTGGACCTGCACAAACAATTTTCTGTCATAGGATGTAGTATCTATTACGAACTTCAAATACTAAATTTGAATACAAAATATACAAAGACGTGGACCTGTAGAGACAATTTTCTGTCTTAGGCTGGAGTATCCATTGCTAACTTCAAATACCAAATTTGAAACTATTCCGGAGAATAATGTCGCTAAAATCATAAAAATACCGAAAATCGGGGGGTACCGTTATATGAAGGCTATACTAAAACGTGGACCTACATGGCCGATTTTAAATACCAAAAGTCCTGCAGACATAACATACATATGAGTAAAATGTTATCAATCGACTTCAATTCATTCGGAAGCTAGAGTGATTTCCGCAGACGGACAGACGATTAGGCGGACGGACGTCGCTAAATCGAGATATGCTGATCAAGAATGTATATACTTTGTGGGGTCTGAAATGTATATTTCGAGGTGTTACAACGGGATGACAAACTTAATATACCCTCTATACTAGGGTAGAGGATATAAAAATATGAGGATACCAATAAACACAGAGGTATTTTGGTCCTTTTCATACAAACTTAATATACCCTTCATGCTATGGTGAAGGGTATAAAAATCCGTCGAAAAATATAGCTCAAAATAAAACCTTTATGTGGGGGTTAACAAAGACGTGGTGCTGGATATGTATTTTTCTGCCATAGGCTGTAGTAACAATTCTGAACCTTAAATACGAAATTCAAAAAAAAAATTAAACGTTTTTTTTTAAGTTTCGTATTTGAATATTGTAATGGCTTATGACAAAAATTACCTATGCAGGTAAATGTCGTCGTTTAGACCCTAATGTAATAGCTACATTCGGTATTTTTAAGATTTTAACAGAATTTTTACCTTATTTTATTGTGTTTGAGAATTGCCAAATTCGTCCCAAATGGAGGGTGTTCAAAGTTCGGTCCGGCCGAACTTACAGCTTATTTACTTGTTTAACTTTACTTTTAATTTTTATTCATAGGATATGTAATTTTCGTAACTTTTAAATATTTTCCCATCGTCAATCAATTGAAATGTGAGGTTTTTAGTTTTTTAATTGAGTTTATTTTCTTTTTTTTTTGACAATTATTTTGTTTTGCAATACTTTATATTTAAATTTTTAATAGTATATGTAATAGATGTACAGGTACAGTCGGAGATAATAAGTGGAAATACTAGTAGGAGACGTAGAAATTCTGTGTCATTTAATTTGAGAAAAGTAAAGAGTAGATTTGAAAATTGGGAAAAACGTTATAGAAATAGAGTAATTAAAGTTTTACAGTACAGTACTAGAAGAGAGACAGAGGAAGTATAGACATTGATAAAGTCAAGTTGAAAGGAAGTAGGAAACATTCTTAAAATTACGAAGCTAGATTAATACCACATCTTATCGCATCATTACATTGTTTGAGTATTTATATTCAGAATAAATTCTTGGTGGGATAGTGAACTTAATGTGTACCAGGAGCAGGGGCAACGTTTACGGATGTGGCTGAATTAACGTGACCAGCCAAGGGGGCAGTGTGAACAGCGCCACGTGTTTTGGCTACATAAACTCCATGACCATGAGTGGGTCCTTGGCTCAATGAAATACCGGGATAACCACCCCATCCACCATGACCATAGCCCCAAGCACCATGACCGCTGACATCAACAGCAGCTGGTGCAGCCCAGGCAGCACCATGACCACCCCAAGGTCCACCCCATGGACCACCCCAGGGTCCGCCCCATGGTCCTCCCAAAGGTCCGGCTGGGTGGACGGCAGATGTAACATACGAGACTCCGGGAGCATGTGCAGCCAACAACGACGATTGGACACCAACAGCGAGAGCCAACATGACTACGGCAAGGACGAACTGAAAGGAAAGGAGAAATAAAAATGAAAATAAATGGCATTTGTAAAAAAAAAAAACAGTAAAGAAAGGTAAAAAGTCGGACGGGCCGACGATATGACACCTCATATCACTATGAGTATTTAGTAGAGCTCCCGTAACAAAAAAGTTTATATTAATATAAGTATTATATTAACAACTATTTATTGATACAATAGATACACCGGACCGAGTTTCACCAAATGGTCAAATTTGGGTGATTATGAAAAAAATATTCAATTTAGGCTGATATTATAGTATTTTGAGCAATAACGGTAAAATTAGACGAAGATGCATATTGAAGCTAAATAAAAATCTGAACCGATCTCAATAAAATTTGGTAGAGGTATTTATGATCAGTATCTGATATCCGGTATCTAATAGCATTGTTGTGGAGAGCATATCACGCATGGGAGGGACTTAAAACCCCAAATCGGATGAAACATATATATGGCAGCTATAGCTATATCTGAACCGATTTTCACTAAATGAGAGAGATTCAGTTCATTTGGGCTGATATTAGCCATTTGGTGCACAATAAGCCTCATATCAGATAAAGATATATATGGGAGCTATATTCAAATCGATAAAAAATCGATAAAATCGATAAAATTTGACGAAATTATTTTTGGGCTGTGTCTGATATCTGCCACCAAATATTATTCTTGTGGAGTGTATGTGATGTAGTTGCTTCTTGACTTAATTCCATCGGATGTGCCAAAATTCAGTCGATTTGGGCTTATATTAGCCATTTGGTGCACAATAAACCTGAAATCAGATAAAGATTTGTATGGAATCTATATCCAAATCTGAACCGATCGTGACAAAGTTTTAGGCACTTATTTCTGAGTTGTATCTGATATCAGGTACCAAAGATCATCGCTGTGGAGTACGTATGTGATGAACTCAAAACCCAAAATCAGTTGAAACATATATATGGCAGCTATAGCTATATCTGAACCGATTTTCTCCAAAATTGGTAGCACTTGCTTTCCGCCGGATGTGCCAAATTCAGGTCATTTGGACTGATATTGGTCATTAGGTGCACAATTAAACCGAAATCGGTTGGAGATATATACGGAAGCTATGTCTACATTTGAACCGATTCTCACCAATTTCAATAGAGTTCGTCCTTGGGCCTAATAAATATTTTTTGGAAAATTTCAGCTCAATCGGATAATAAATGCGACCTGCATTTTGTTCACAAAAATGCATGTACAGATTGATGTGATTCTATGAAGATCCTCAAAAGTTACTATGGGTCTACCTCGCTTCCTTCTAAATGTTACCAACAAAACACATAATACCCTAACCACTATGTGATGTAGGGTATAAAAATGAATGCGATTCTTCATATGGAAAGGACCTCAACCTTATTATATATTTATTATATCCGTGCTCTCCTTGGCATGGATAGAAGACCAATAACGAAATGAAATGAAATTGGCATTCGAACTTTCTACGGACATCAAATCCCCTAACAACTGATTTTTTCCAACCAAATTATGTTCAGAATCTGCAATGCCTTGAATTTTATCCTGCCGGGCTTTGGCGTTCCAGTGAATAGGGAATGATATTTAGTGTCCTATTTTAATTCTGTGGGAGAACTAGATGGGCGAATAGATGGACGGGTCTATGTCGGATTGTATATCGGGTTTCTCACCCGGAATATTTTTGGCAACTGGAAGAGGTATCTATGACATTGAGCTCAAAATTAAGACGCCATCATCCTGGTGGTTATAATGTATTTATAGCCAATGAGCTTTGACACACTGTCTGGTTTTTTATATAGTCCTGGAACAGTGGCGCACTTTTTATAACCTCCACCATAGTACGGAGGGTATATTAAATTTGTCATTCCATTTGTAACACCTCGAAATATATATTTTAGACCCCACAAAGTATATTTATTCTTGATCAGCATAAAATTCTATGTCGATTTAACAATGTCCGTCCGTCTGTCCGTCTGTGTAAATCACTCTAGCTTCCGAACGAAATGAAGTAGATTGATAAAATTTTACTCAAATGTATATTATGTCGGCAGGACTTTTGGTATTGAAAAGGGGCATGTAGGTCCATGTTTTGATATAGCCCCCATATAACGGTACCTCCCGATTTTCGGTACTTTGTTGATTTTAGCGACATTATTCACCGGAATTGTTTCAAATTTGGTATTTGAAGTTCGTTATGGATACCACAGCCTAAGACAGAAAACGTCTTCGTATTGCCCCCATATAACGGTACCTCCCGATATTCGGTATTTTTATGGTTTCAGCTACATTATTCACCGAGTTTTTTTGGTTAAGTTTCGCATTTGAATATTGTAATGGCTTATGACAAAAGTTACCTAAGCAGGTCCATGTCGTCGTATAGACCCTAATGTGACAGCTACATTCGGTTTTTTTTTCAGATTTTAACAGAATTTTTGAGAATTGCCAAATTCGCTCCAAATGGTATTCAAAGTTCGGCTCGGCCAAACTTACAGCTTTTTTTACTTGTTTATTTTATTTTATAACACCGATTCAGATATCCCGCCTTTTAATTATTTTAATATTTTTTTATTCAGTTTTTCGAAATTTACACTTTAAAAATATTCTCAAAAAAATTTAATATTTTTAATTTAATTGTTTGGATTATATTTCAATACACTTTGAAAATAATTTCGTTTTCTAACTCTTTAATCTCAATAAAATAGTTACCTTCATGTTGTTGATGGGGTTGAGGATTAGAAGTAGAGTAAAGAAACAGAAAATTGACTGACTGACTGTTCTATTGAACTGTGCGGTGTTCAACAAATGATGTTTGAATTTATTCTGATTCTGTTTAACCAAATTAGAGTAACTTTTATACTCCCCAAAATCAGCTATGTTGCCGCTGACTTGTCTTGCGGCACAAGGCATTGTCATGGTTGTTTGATGTGTGAGTGTGTGTGTCTTTTTTCTCGTTTGTGCCACACCAAAATGTAAACAAAAACAAAAATTATGCGCATTGCAAGTGCAGGCCACACAAAAAATGTTTTTTAATAATCGTGGCACAAGAGCACTTTACACGGCAACGCCACCACCAACGCAAGCGTCAGCTGTTGAATGTTGTTACCCCCAGAGAATAAAGTTGCTGCTGCAATTGCGCAGTAATTATCTCAAACAATATGTGGTCTCTCAATGTGTTGCACTTAGGTTAGAATTCTATTCAACATAAAACTTATAACATGTTCTAGTCATTGAATCAAAGTACAAAATAATAAATATTGAGAAAATTTTAGGTATCTTGGACAAGAAGAAATTTTTATTTCAAAAAATGACATATTGGAAATAAATTTGAGATTGCAAATCATCTATTCAATAATTATATTTAGTTTTCTTTGAATGTTATGCAACCTAAAGATATTAACATAATTATAGTATGTGTTGGAAGAAAAACTGTTTGAAGTTCAATTAGACCGGAAATAAGATGCACTACATTGCTACATTTTAAATTGCATTTTACAGGCACCGATGATCTGTCTTGAGTGTACCATTCATTCGAAATTTAATTTCTCAATAATACGAGAAGAATTTTTTTTTCAATTGGAATCGAAAAAGACAAATTGAAATTATTTTGAAGTACTAAAGTACACTATATTTGGTAGCATTTCGTATCATGTGAACGGTTAGAGCTAAAAACGTGAAATTTGGAATGGGATCAAGTTTAAGTATGTACTCCTGTATATGAAAACCATTAAAGAAAATCTTAAAGTCGGGCGAGGCCGACTTTATGATACCCTACACCACTTTGCTAATTTAGTAGAGCTGCGCATAACAATTAAAAGTTTTTATGGGAGAATTCAGTCATACACGCTATGATTATAATTGTAATGTAAAGTTCAAAGGACTAAATATGTGGAAGAATTTGTATCTTTTAAATTCAGACTTATATTGCCCATTTGGTGCAGAATTAATTTGAAATCGGATAAAAATATATATGGGAGCTATATCCAAATCTGAACCGATCTCGATAAAATTTGGCACAGACATTTCTGAGCTGCATTTGATATATTTCCCTGAATATCGTTGTTACGGAGTGCATATTAGGGCTGTGGGTAACAAATATGACATGAATCGGAAGAACAATATATATGGGAGCTATAGCTATATCTGAACATATCTTCACCAAATTTGACATACTAGCTTCTAGACTCAATTCGGTCGTAAGTGCCAAATTTCATTCAATTTGGGTAATTATTAGACGTTTGGTGCACAATCAAAGGTAAATCGGACGAAATTATATATGGGAGCTATATCCAAATCTGAACCGATCTCGTTAAAATTTAGCAAATATATTTCTGAGCTGTACTTGATGTATTTACCTAAATATTGTTGTTACAGAGTGCATATTACGGCTACGAACGACAAAAATAGCAAATCGGATGAACAACATATATGGGAGCTATAGCTATATCTGAACCGATTTCTATCAAATTTGGCATACTTATTTTCAGGTCCAGTCTGATCGTACGTGCAAAATTCCATACTATTCGGACTGATATTACACGTTTGGTGCACAATAAAATACAAATCGGACGAAGATATATATGGGAGCTACATATAAATTTTGACCGATTATCTCCAATTTCAACAGGGTTCGTCCTTGGATCAAAAAAATTATTTGTGCAAAATTTCATCTGGATAGGGCAATAAATGCGAACTGTACTTTGTTTACAAAAATACATGGGCAGACGGACAGACGGACGGACGGACATAAATCGACTCAAAATGTGATTCTATGCAGATCATCAAAAGGAACTATGGGTCTATCTCGTTTCCTTTAGCCTGTTACAAACAAATGCACAAAGACATAATACCCTGACCACCTTGTGGTGTAGGGTATAAATACTAGATTTGGTATACTTCAAATTTAGAAGAACGGATGGAGCTGGAATCCTGAAATGTTGGCGGAGAGTAGGATTGGGATATGGAGGTAGTTTTTGCACGAACAGTAGAAAATGGTATTTAATTTGGTACAAATTAAATTTTGGGAAAACCGATAGAGTTGGAATCCTAAAATTTAGAAAAAAGATTACTATTGCATTGTGGGATTGTGGTACGTATAAAGTTTTGGAAATTCGATTATATGTGTACTGAATGGAACTAAATTTGGTACAATTTAAATTTTAGGAGAACCGATAGTGTTGGAATCCTGAAATTTGGAAATAAAATTTTAATTGGATTGTATGATGTTAGCAGTTATTAAAAAAATATGTACTTAAGATTACTAAATTTGGTACAAATTGGAATTTTGGAGAACTGATAGAGCTAGAATTCTGAAATTTGGAAATAAGATGTCTACTTGCCTATATTATTGAGGTCTGGAGCTAGTTTTGAAAATTCGCGGATTAGGATTGAGGTGTGTAAATTTTTGGGAATTCCATATAATTTATACTAAATTTGGAACAATATGGATTTGTGTGAGCCGATGGGACTGGAATCGTGAAATATGGAGATATTTTTGGAGATAACTACTAAAAGAGATAATAAATTGTGAAAAAATAGTGTTGATTATACGGATACACTTAGATTTCTGAATTTAACCAGTAACCAGACGAAACGGCTAAGAAAGTCAGTGAAATTCGCTCTAAAAGGATACGAAAAGTACTAAAAATTAAATACTTTGTCGGGCAAACGGAATGAGGTAGAATTCTGATATTTGGAACGAGAGTAACTGATGGAGTGCACGATAGATGGAAATTTGAACTTTAAGGTTACTTTTAAAATGATACTATTCGGTATCATGTGAACGGATAGAGCTAAAAAATTTAAATTTGGAATGAGAATCAAGATTAACAAGTAAGTAACATGCTGTAAGTTCGGCCGGGACTTTTAATACCATCCACCAAACGGTACAAATTTGGCAATTTCTAAAAAAAACCAGTAAGGAAAGCTCAAAAGTCGGGCGGGGCCGACTATATGATACCCTACACCACTATGCATATTTAGTAGAGCTCTCGTAAAAAGGTTTATACAGGGCATTTCAGAGCTCTATGAGATATTTGGTACAAAATCAAAATCTATCTAATTCTATCGTGCATTTTACGAACTATAGCTATCTCTGAACCGGGTTTCTCCACATTTTACGTATTATCTTCTAGACTGGTGATTTGGGCTGATATTGACCATTTAGTGCACATTTAACCCGAAATCGGATGAAGATATATATGAGAGCTATATCCAAATCTGAACCGATTTCGATAAAATTTGAAACAGCTATTCCTGTGCTCCATCTAATACCTGGTACCAAATATCACGGTTGTGGAGTGCATATTACGAATGTATGGGACTAAAACTCTACATCGGATGAAACATATATATGGTTGCTATATCTATATCTGAACCGATTTTCACTAAATTTGATATACTTGCTTCTAGGCTGAATTTGGTCCGATGTACTAAAATGCAGTCCATTTGGACTTATATCGGCCATTTGGTGCACAATTAACCCGAAATCGGATGAAGATATATATGGGAGCTATATCCAAATCTGAACCGATTTCGATAAAATTACAAACAGCTATTTCTGGGCTGTATCTTATATCTGGTACTAAATATCATTCTTGTGGAGTGCATATTACGAATGTGAGAGGCTTAAACACCAAATCGGATGAAAGATATATATGGGAGCTATAGCTATATCTGAACCGATTTTCTCCAAATTTGACATACTTGCTTCTAGGCCGAACTCGGTTGGGTGTGCCAAAATTCTGGTAATTTGGACTGATAGTGGACATTTGGTGCACATTTAACCCGAAATCGGATGAATATATATGTGGGGGCTATAGCTGCTTCTGAACCGATTTTCTCCAAATTTGTTGTATTTGCTTTAAGGCTAATCTCGGTCACATGTGCCAAAATTCGGGCCATTTGGGCTGATATTGGCTATTTGGTGGTCAATTAACCCGAAATCGGATGAAGATATATATGGGAGCTATATTCAAATCTGAACCGATTTCGATAAAATTTAAAACAGCTATTTCTGTGCTCCATCTAATACCTGGTACCAAATATCACGGTTGTGGAGTGCATAGTAGGAATGTTAGGGACTTAAAGATCAAATCGGATGAAAGATATATATGGGAGCTATAGCTATATCTGAACCGATTTTCTCCACATTTGATATATTTGCTTCTATGCCAAACTCGGTTGGGTGTGCCAAAATTCAGGTAATTTGGACTGATAGTGGACATTTGGTGCACATTTAACCCGAAATCGGATGAATATATATATGGGACCTATAGCTGTTTCTGAACCGATTTTCTCCAAATTTGTTGTATTTGCTTTAAGGCTAATCTCGGTCACATGTGCCAAAATTCGGGCCATTTGGGCTGATATTGGCCATTTGGTGCACATTTAACCCGAAATCGGATGAAGATATATATGGGAGCTATATCCAAATCTGAACCGATTTCGATAAAATTACAAACAGCTATTTCTGGGCTGTATCTTATATCTGGTACCAAATATCATTCTTGTGGAGTGCATATTACGAATGTGAGAGGCGTAAACACCAAATCGGATGAAAGATATATATGGGAGCTATAGCTATATCTGAACCGATTTTCTCCAAATTTGATATACTTGCTTCTAGGCCGAACTCGGTTGGGTGTGCCAAAATTCAGGTAATTTGGACTGATAGTGGACATTTGGTGCACATTTAACCCGAAATCGGATGAATATATATGGGAGCTATAGCTGTTTCTGAACCGATTTTCTCCAAATTTGTTGTATTTGCTTTAAGGCTAATCTCGGTCACATGTGCCAAAATTCGGGCCATT